CAAATGCAACTTAGTGAATTCGTCTTAATAAATAACATCGTACTATAAAAAAAAATATATATGTATTGTGTCATTTAAGAAAATAAATTTTAATTCGAAATTTCGAAACGGACGATTTGCAAAAAATAATTTACAGTACACAATGCGTCTTTTTAATCCAAACAATATTTGTAAAAACATTTTGATAACCCAAATCTTTTACAAAATCGAGTTTGCAAAATAAAGGCAATTAATTTAGACTATGAATTTACATATTTATAAATAAAAAGAAGTCGTATCTAATTATGTTATTCATAAAAATATCATATTCCAATCAATTTTTTTAAATTTTCTAAATTTAAATAATCTATTTTGATTTATAATAAATATATTTATAATAATCTTCTATTTCTAATAAATATAAATAATCTTTTAAATAAATATAAATAATATATACAGATATTTAATTATAAATATAAATAATATATATAGATATATAATTAAGTAAATAAATATAAATTTTAAATAAATGTAAATGTTTGATCCCAATTTTCATCAATCGTTGTTTTAAATCGTTATATTTCTTCACTGATGAAGGAATGTACCGCCACGTTCAATTCGTATATATATAGAATAAATAATTCTCAAAGCAGATGTGGCAATACTGTCCATATTTTTTAATTTTAAAGTTTCTCACTAGTAGTGCTGCAGTGCAAAACTTATCTCAATCGGTATGACAGGATGTAACACGAAAATGGTAAGGGAGTCCCGAGACCCCCCCGTAGTGGGCCGAAAAAATACATCGTATACAAGGTCTATTCATATACCTCGTCTGTGGCAATACCTATTCATATACCTCGTCTGTGATGCTAGTTAATCAATGGTGATATTTTTTTTATGGTCGGTATTTCAGACCCTGAGACACGATGCTTCATTTAATGTCCGGTCTATCCTATTCTTAATCAATGACTGTATGCAATGTCTATTCATACATCTCGTCTGTGCTTTTTAAACGATTCTTACAAAATATTTAATTGATAAATAGTAAAAAAAGAAATACTTAAGTATTATATGTATTTATTATTATATATTTTACATATAATAAGTTA